GCACCCGGGAAAGGGGACCCCGGCACCCGGGGCCACCCCGCTTACCCTCGACGTCAGTGTCGCTCTCCGTCACCGTCGCACCCGCGTCCCCGCCGGGGGTGGCCCCGTCACCCCTGGGCCCAGCGCCGTCACCCAAATTCGAGACCAGACGCGGGGATTTGGGGGGGGGAACATCTGGCGGCACAGCTGGATCCACGCCCCTCCGCGGGGTCTCCCCGTTGCGTTGCCCGGCCCCAACATCTGGATTCGGGGCCTCCGCAGCTGTATTTGGGGCTGAATCGTGACGTTTGGGGACCGGTCCTTCCGCGCTTGTGTCACCCCGTGATTCCGGGGACAAACTCGGCCGTTTCGGGGGCGATTCCCGTGGGTTTGGGTCTGCCCCCTTCACGTCGCTATCGCTGCCCGGGGCGGGGCCCCCAACATCTGGATGGGGTCGATTCCGGATTCGGCGCCGGAGGCTCCGAACATCTGGAGTGGGGGCCACCTCCTCCGTGTCGGTGTCGCTGCCATCCCCGGGGCTCGTGGGAGAGGAAACATCTGGATTTCGGGGCCTCGCTGCCACATCTGGGTCACCAGAGGCCCCTCGACACCTTCGCGCCCTCCCAACATCTGGAACGACACCATCGTCTTCAACATCTGTATCGCTGTCCACATTCAGGAGCGGGCACCGGGCTTCAGGGGCTCCGGCATCTGGAGTTGGGGACGTCACCTTCACATCTGGATCGCCATTGGTCCGTGTCGGCCCCTCGGGGTCAACATCTGGCGCAGCGGCCATCTTAGCAACTGTATCCATGACCTCACGGGTTGTCCCACGCGGTTTTGGAGCTCCAACGTTGGGAAAGGCGTTGAGGTCCTCCACATCTGTATCGCTGTCACCACGGGAGGCCACTGAGCCACGGCGGAGGCCACCAACATCTGGATTCGGGGTCTCCATCACCACAGTTGGGTCTTTCCGGGTGTTTCGGGGTGTTTTGTGGCTTTTGGGGCAAAGAAAACCTGAGTCAACGTGTTCTTCTTCCACATCTGTGTCACTGTCCACCTCTAGGTCGCGACGGTCCTTTGGGGGTTCTTCAGCATCTGGATTCGGCTTCTTCATCGCCACATCTGGGTCTTTGCGGGTAATTCGACGGATTTTTGGACGCCCAACATTTGGATTCACCTCGTTCTCCTCCACATCTGTATCGCTGTCCGCCACGAGCATCCAATGTTCGTTTCGGGGTCCTTCAGCACGTGGATTCGGACTCTTCGTCTCCACCTCTGGGTTTCTCGGTACGTTTTGGGTTGCTCGATGGGGTTGTGGAGTCCCAACATCTGGATCGGAAGCCGCCTCCTCCACATCTGTATCACTCTCCACCAGCAGAGTCCGTCGTCCTTCCGCATCTCTGTTTGTGGTCTCCGGCTTCACATCTGGGGCGCTGGGGGCTGTTCTGTGGCTTTCTGGGCACCCAACATCTGGATTGGAAGTGTCCTCCTCCACATCTGTATCGCTGTCCACCACGAGCATCCCACGACCCTTCTGCGAACCTTCAACATCTGCATTTTGCGTCTCCATCTCCACAACTGGGTTTTTTGGTGCGTTTTGGGGTTTTTGAGGGGTTTTAGGGTACCCAACATCTGGATCGGCTCCGTTCTCTTCCACATCTGTATCGCTGTCCACCACGAGCATCCCATGACGCTCTTGTGAACCTTCAACATCTGCATTTTGCGTCTCCATCTCAATATTTTGTTTTTTGGGTACATTTTGGGTCATTTGATGGGTTTGGGGGCGTCCAACATCTGGACTGGCTCTGGCCTCCTCCACATCTGTATCGCTGTCCACCACGAGCATCCCATGACGCTCTTGTGAACCTTCAACATCTGCATTTTGCGTCTCCATCTCAATATTTTGTTTTTTGGGTACATTTTGGGTCATTTGATGGGTTTGGGGGCGTCCAACATCTGGACTGGCTCTGGCCTCCTCCACATCTGTATCGCTGTCCACCACGAGCATCCCATGACGCTCTTGTGAACCTTCAACATCTGCATTTTGCGTCTCCATCTCAATATTTTGTTTTTTGGGTACATTTTGGGTCATTTGATGGGTTTGGGGGCGTCCAACATCTGGACTGGCTCTGGCCTCCTCCACATCTGTATCGCTGTCCACCACGAGCATCCCATGACGCTCTTGTGAACCTTCAACATCTGCATTTTGCGTCTCCATCTCAATATTTTGTTTTTTGGGTACATTTTGGGTCATTTGATGGGTTTGGGGGCGTCCAACATCTGGACTGGCTCTGGCCTCCTCCACATCTGTATCGCTGTCCACCACGAGCATCTGATGTCCATTTTGGGGCCCTCCAACAGCTGAGTTTGATTTCTCCGCCTCCACATCTGTATCGCTGTCCGCAAGTGTCCAGCATCCGTTTTTGGGACCCCCAACATCTGGATTCGGGGTCTCCATCTCCGCACCCGGGTTTTCTGGCACCTTGGGGGCCGTGCCACGTATTTTTGGGCAGCCAACATCTGGAAGGGCCTCAGCCTCCTCCACATCTGTGTCACTGTCCACCGCAAGCATCTGACTTCCGCTTTTAGCCCTTCCGACATCTGGATTTGGCTCCCTTTCCTCCACATCTGGATGGCTGCTCACCTCCAGGGCAGCCCGGTGGCAGTTTGGGTGAAAAAGAGCAGTTTCTGGGGGCACCTTGACATCTGTAGCGCTCTCAACCAGGTTGCTGCCTTCCAGATGTTCCACATCTGGACTCGCAGCCTTTGGGGGATTCGGAGAGCGATTTGGGGGCTGAACATGCGGAACAGCCATTTTTCTCCCCACATCTGGATCTGGGGTGGTTTGGGGGCCAAAGCGGCGCTTTTTGGGTCCCCCGACGTCTGGATCTGGGCAGGGCGCGGCTGCATCCGGGTGGCGGCCCGGCGCGAGGGCGCGGCGGCGTTTTCGGGGGGCCCGAACATCCGGGCAAACATCTGGCTCCTCCGGGTCGCTGCGTAGGGGAGGGGGGTGTTGGGAGTTGGGGGTCTGACGGACCCAGGGATCTGGGCGCACCCCCCAAGGAACCCACGCATCGGGGTCCCGCCTACCTCTCCAGCACGACTCGGGGTGAGGCAGCGTCTCCGAGGGCAGGGCCTGAGGGAACGGGGCACAGATTGTTATTGTAGGGCCTACAGTAACCCCAGAGGATCCCATCAAATCTGGGCTCCCCCCCTTCCTCTCCCGACCTCCACATCTCGGTGGTTCCTCCGCTAACACAACACCGGTGTTTATGTAGGTCCTACCATAAGCACCAGCTTGTTGTGTTTTTTTTGTAGGCCCTACGATAATGGCGTGTTC